GGAAGGACATGTGACGACCCCGGGCTGGACTCTGCTTCGTCCACGGTGAAAGCCGATCCGGCGATTTACAGCACTAAGTTGATGTATTTCCTCAGCGACCAGCACAGATCAGCTCTAGGCATGACGAAGCGGATATCGTCCTCTTTTGGAAGACCAAACAAAGTAGTTTCGCTTTCACAACGAAACACATAGCTCTTCACGACATGGCTGCAGCGTCAACAATACTACAGTGAGAATAAAAGTTACGCCTTCTTCTTTGCGTGAACATTTGGGCGGCGTTATGCAAATCTTCCCACATAGTGAGGTAGATATGTGGGGGCGTGTTAGAACGAGGCGTTTTAGGTAGGTGTGGCTGACTCTGAACTTTTATAAAGAATATCTCTTTGGATTTGAGACTTTAGTCTTTGCAACTTTACAGATCTTCTTTATGAACCAAGAGCTTGTAACACTCCAAAGAGAAAGGAAAAATTGAAATCGCATCATATGACCCCTTTAACACTATAAACACACTGACAGCTCATGTGAGTGATTCCCTTCGGTTTGACTCATAAAACCAGTCTGTTGATATTAAACTGCCTGCACTTGTGAAATTATAAAACTATGTGCAATAAAATGCAAAGACAAGGCCTTAAAATAAAATACTGATATTAAATAGCTGCCAGGATAGTTTGTCAATTCTCATTCATATTGTTATGCAGGATATCAACTGTAAGATATACATCATAAACACAATCAATAAATGGTTTCAGAGACTGATTGAAAGAACCAGCATGCATTTTCATACAAACACATGGCATAGGGAGTATATAGATAAAATTTAAAATCTAACTTTCACCCACCCACTTCCATCCTAAATACTTCCAATGGGATGCCTAAAAGCAGCTGGGTATGGCGAACCATGTGCAGTGCCAAAAATCAGAGTGTCAGTATGTAGTCATTTGGAGCCTCCAAATTTTAAAGATGGCTACAAGTACAAGTAATAGTGGTGCGTGAATGCTGCATATCCTGTTTCACATATTGTAGCTTTTAAAGCCCTCAAAAATACAAATAAACATTCTGCTAATTAAATATGTCTCATAATAAGACTGGAAGTGCAGAGAGGGGCTTTTCTGACAGTGTGAAGAATGTCTTAATAACAGCAGAAAAGAATCTAGTCTAATATTTCATCTTCCACTGATGGAAATCACAAGTGAGTTCCTAGAGTCTGGTGATAAGGGACTTTGTGTTTTCAGTTAACAAGACCTTACTCTATGTTGATAGATGAAACAGAACTCTTCTGCTGAGTGTGGTGAGCATGACAGGTAAGTTGGTCAAAGTTAAGCCTGATTCTTTTACAAAGGAGCAGGAAAACATGATTGATGTTCTTGTAGTGTGTTTAAGTACATCAGTGTCTCCCAACTTGACAAACGCTTGAATCATTACATTAAAATTACTGGGTATTTTATATCTTTTTCTTCACTTTTAAGTTGTTTCAATGCAATATGATATGCTATATGGAATTTTTAACTGATTCACAATTTGACAGTCACTAAAAACACTGTCTTACAATTACCATAACTCTTGTCATATAGCACATAAAACAAATGCTGTTTTAAACAACAACAGCTGGCTGAAGAAAGCTGTAGTACTGAAGTAACATTACTTCTTATTTTTGGGGGAGGGGTGGGGGTTAAATGGGGGTTGGGGTATAAAATGTGACAGATGAAGACCCCTTAACACCAGCAAAACCTTTGAAAGTAAACTGTTTTGTGCACACACACACGTCTGGTTCACTATCCTTGTGGGGACTCCCCATAGGCGTAATGGTTTTTATACTGTACAAACTGTATTTTCTATCGCCCTACACCAACCCTACACCTAAAAGAAAACTTTCTGCATTTTTACAATCTCAAAAAAAAAAAAAAACTAATTCTGTATGATATATAAGCTTTTGTACCCAAGTCCACATGAGTTGGTATGTATTCAGGTTTAAGTCTCCACCAGTATAGAAAAACATGTACACACACACACACACACACACACACACACACTACATTCATTCTTAGATAACATCATTGAGGGTCTTTAGCAAGTCACAGTTATCATACCACTAGTCAAAGGTGAGATCTGAACCTACTGAGAATGAACAGGGATTTGTGAGAATGTGTTAAATACACACAGAGAATAAATACAAAGACTATTTGTATTCAGACAATGTGTCTCCAGGAGGGACGCTCCATATGCTGTAATTAAAAAAGACACTGGGATGCCATAATTACTTTTGCTGGGATAAATTGGTGTCTGCCTATATTCAACATAATTATGACCTTTGTAAGATAAAGCACTCAGTCACTTCACTCTCACAGCCAGACGAACAGCAAAAACAACATACATAAGCACAAATGAAGACAAACTAAGATGAACTTTATATTTAAAAAAATTAGTAAGACAAACTAGCACAAATGTTGCTGTAAAGTAACATTTTACACATGAAGTCAGGAAATTAATTTAATAAAGTTTAACTTTTAATATTAGGCTACTAGTATGATTTTTAACAGATTTTACACATCAAATAAAAAAAATATTCTAATGAGATGCTATATGTTAGCATCAGTTGTTACTATAAAAATTTTACCAGTAAACAATGAAAGATACTTGTACCTCATAAATATACTAGTATCATTTTAAAACTGAAAAGGTACTATTAACAAAAATACAGTTCAATGTCAAAAACTGTAATCTGTCACCAGTAGGCTAATGCAATAGTCTTATGTCACTATTGGGATAGTGACTATTCAGCAAATAAACAAGTAGGCTACTATCCTATTTACTAATAAAGATAGGCTACTAGTCACTTTTAACTAATCTAATTAATAAGTACTAGCATCTAGTGACTAGTTATAGTGAGGTTAAAAGGCCCATACTGTCACTATACTGTAGGATAAATTACTAGTAAATAAAAAATAAATACTACAGTAACAAAAATAGCTAGTTTGTAAGCAATGCATGTTAAAACGACTTTCCATAAAAAAAACATCAAAAATAAACATGAAGCATCTGTAACGTTGTGAGCTGAAACTCGCACTAAAGTTTTCAAGTAGATTTCAGTCACTCACCGTTGACTACGTGAAGAGCGCTTGAGCAATACCGTGCATAAAGAATCAACGCTTCTGAAGAAAGCGTCCTGGTATTTTCACTGCTTCCAAAGGATGGTGAAGTTCACGCAGATCTGAGCCGCCTTCGCTCTACTCCTCTCTAAAGTAGGACAAACTCCCGTTGCTGAAGGTTAATACGCGCAGCCGCTACACATCTCTGCGTCCGTCCTCCAGGAAGCGACTGCTGCAAACTGCCTGGAATCACGCTGCTGAGTCGCGCTGCCCCTCGCTCCTCGAGAGTGAGCACGCCTCACATTCGCTCCCGACCGCTGATCTGGAGCGACAAGCTGTAAGGCTATGGGAGAGTGGCCACGCACGGGGGCTCGCGACGGGCGACACGTTCAAGTTCAGGAAGCAACTTGAACTCTGTTGTAATTTATGGTGAATGTCGAACCAACAGTAAACAGGCACTGCACCGTCTGCTTATTAGACACCTAATGCTGAGGCGAGAATATGTCGACTACAAACATTTCGTATCAATAAAAAAATTAGAAAGTTGTCATAATTGCTGTATTTCTAGGGCTATAGGTTCTGACAAGGTTTTAAGTTCACAAAAGTCAATAGGTTACCTTTTTATGGAATGTTGTCACATGAGTATTATTTGTTTTATAAATCTGTCCTGTCCAGTTATTAGTTACAGTATTTGTTGCCAAAAATGGTTTGATATTTACATTTTGCTGTTTAATGAATTGTTTCATGCTTCATAATTGTTTTACTGTGTAAATGTGAAATATATAGGTTCTATTGTCACAACTTACCGTGTAGTTTGACAGCATGCAAACATATATGTTCAATAAACTGTATTTTTTTTTTCAGAGCAATAAAAAATAAAATAGATACAAAACTGTTCAGGGATCCTTTCAAACGGTAATAATTATGTACACTCTAGGTACTAATAATATGTACTTTTAAGGTACTAATAAAGGTACATTTAGGGGTAAACAAGGTACAAAGATGTAACTTTAAAAGGGTCATATGATGTTGCTAAAAAGAACATTATTTCGTGACGTAGACATGTGGGGGCGTGTTAGAACGAGCCGTTTTAGGTAGGCGTGGTTGACTCTTAACTTTTATAAAGAATATCTCTTTGGATTTGAGACTTTAGTCTTTGCAACTTTACAGATCTTCTTTATGCACCAAGAGCTTGTAACACTTCAAAGAGAAAGGAAACATTGAAATCGCATCATATGACCCCTTTAAGCTTTTGTACCTGATGGTACTGCCCCAGTGACGGATTTCCATTTTTATTTCTAAAATGTAGAAAAAAAAGGTGCAAAAAAACAACAAAAACTGTTGCTGGTAGCCATTGACTTCCATAGTATTTTTTCCACACTAGGGAAGTCAAGGGCTACCGCCAACTGTTTGGATAGCAACATTCTTCAAATTATCTTCTTTTGTGTTCAGCAGAAGAAAGAAACTCATACAGGTTTGGAATTACATGTGGGTGAGTAAATGATGACATAATTTTCATTTTGGGGCGAACGATCCCTTTAAGATATGTTTCTTGATTTTCATAAACAAATCCACCCTGTGAAACTAAACTAAAAAGTGTGACAATTAGCCCTGGTCTTCCCTATTCAGCGAGACATAGGCTATAACCATCTCCACCCATATTCACAATCCCACATATTGTTTACTGATTTCTGTAACACAGACTATTATAAGTCCTCTGGCCCGGAAGAGTCTTTGAAATATGACTCAGTACTGTTTAAGGTAAAGAACTAGGCTGAGGGGCACAAAGAGCAAAGGAGTGGTATTTGTTATGGTCTATCATGAAGGTACAACATGTTCTTGTCCAGTGACTCTGCTGTGAGCTTCTCGGGGCAAACCAGATTTTTTTTTATTTGCCCTATCTTATATATATTTCCAAAAGGTCACATCTGACAGCAAGCACATCAACAGAGAAAGACTTTGATCAGCATGCATGTCACATCCGTCTGTTACTCAAAAATAGACTTTATCTGTAAATGTCTATATGTTGTAGAGTAGTAAAAGAGAGGCTGTGGGGGGCTTACTGGGGGTCTCAGCAGGACAACAAATATGTCCCATCATTCACCGTTTATAACCTGACTTCAAAGCCAGTAATAGCAAAAGAAACCATGACTGGAGGCAGTAATGCTAAACAAACCATAACCAAAACTGAAATACCACAGCAGATCTAATGACATGTGATTAAGTAGTCTCTGCATATGATCTTTTTAAAAAATTATAATTTTCAACAACACTGCAACTGTAGGTCAACACTTTTTTTTTTTTTATATTTATCTTCTGTATAGATCATGCATAAATTGCACACATATATACAAAAAAGTATTCAGAGATTTAAAATATATTTGTTTATATGGATTTTTATATGATCAAAATATATATATATATATATATATATATATATATTATAAGAGTATTTATAAATGTGTTTTAATTTAAATTAAAGTTAATCATGATTGACTCTGATAACTGACCCAAATATGAAAAAAAGTTATTTACCATTTGCAGTTTTATAAAGTGCAGCTGCAGTTATGGTGTAGAACCAAGGTTGTCATAAACAAAAATAAAGGCTCTTAGTTCATATGAGTTCATTAAACTAAAATGTCATGGGGCTCAATTAGACATTCAGTTTCAGAGCAACGTAGCAAGCCTGAAGGGATTCATTTGCATAATTCAAAACCTGTTAAATCAGGGGCACGCACTGCAGCATAAACATTCCCACATGCACTGTACACCCTTGTACTGTACAGCCTCTCATACAAAGCTCATCTCTTTGTCCACTAATCACTTCCCCAAAACTGTTTGGACAAAGACAAAACTAGGCCAATAACAGTCTATTTTTCTCCTCGGCTTGTTTGGAACTCTGTTAATTGTTGCATTGTCCTTTTATTAAGACTTGTTTGCTAAATATGACATATAAATCACACTGGATCTAGGCTGTTGAAATAGGATTACCATCAGTGTGAGTTCTTGTACCCTGCAGACTCTCCAGAACTGTCACACACATTATACAGCTGCAAAGTCTACACATTGAAGATTATTTAAATCTGTTTCAAGCTTTTCAATATGTATGCTACAGACACAACACTGTCTGGACATCACAGGACATACTCTTCAGCAGATGTTGTGTGAGGCATTAATATGGTCAGTTGGAAATGTGTTTCCATCTAATTTTCCTTCTCAGAAACACTGAGAAACTATACTTCAATCTATCTTTGGTCTTAGAAAGTAACAAAAAGTGTAAATGTAATCTGCGGACCTGTTCCAAATAGGACATGACAGCCAGGGCATCTCATTTCTCCAGCCAATTTCTCCATCAGTAGAAGATTCAAGACAAAGATGGATAGAGAGAAAGAGAGAGAGAGAGAGATAATGAGCTGTTTACCTTGTTTCCTGCGGCTTCATTTAACTTTTCAAAGAGTCTCAGGTTCAGAGTTTGATGCATAAAGATAGACAGCTTTTGCAGTTGTGAAGTAGCTGAAAATAAGTCAGTGTTTCTCACTGCAAATAAAAAAAAATGATAAAATAAAATTTTAATTATAATAATAAAATAGAATACTAAAAAATTAGATGTATAATGATGTATTGGCAGAATATGAAATAGCATTTTAAAATAAGCTTTAAATCAACTTTAAAAAGGGACAATCTTTTCTGATCAAACTCAGAAATTCTGGTGCAAATTCACCTCTCCCTTGGCTATATAATTAATACTAATTCAATATTTGGTCCAGTGTTTATTCCATGTGTTAGGCTGGTAAATCACACTTTTGCTGTTGTTATGCATTTATGCATGTCAGTTTTTCTAGTTACTATTCAGTCCATGTCATGTTAATCAGTTGGGTAACATTTTATTTGATAGTCCACTTTAGATATTCTACTAAGTAAGTAACTTTGCACCTACATGTTAACTAGCGATCATTAGAATATTAGTACTGTAGACTGTCTGATTAATATCTGCCAACACTTTGTTTTAATGGTGCACCAACAGACATTCTAATAACTATAAGTAACTTTTCAAGTATGTCAACTTATTCTACTAACCCTAACCTAAACAGTCTGCAAATACTGTAATGAGAGTTACTTGAGATGTAGATGCAAATTAATGAGAGTTAGTTAGTTAGTTGCAAAGTTACTTATAGTTAGTAGAATACCTGAAGTGGACTGTCAAAAGTGTTACCATCATTTGGTTGTGGTAACTTAAAAAAAAAAAAAAAGTTTAAGAATGTCCTTGTTTTATACCTACATTTTTGAGTCGCCACTCTATGTGCAATATAAAATCCTAAAGCAAAACAGCTGAGAACCACTGAGTATAATGCCGAGTTCACACTGCACGATTTTCAAACTCGTCGGATCGCCGTTGTTTTCACACTGCGTGACTATCGGGGGTAGCATTCAGTTGCTGACAGGGGGTTTCACACTGCATGACTTCACAATAGGAAGAATCGCCGACAGCTCTGTCTGGTCCGCAAACTACGTTTCACAACAAAACACACGCGAGAAGTGATAAGGACATAACGCGAGAACCAGCGTGCGTCAGACCGGAGTTCTCCAGCGAGATTGTAATTATTAAAATGTATATAAATCATTGCACACTGCGTGATTGTGAATCGCAGACGGCTCCAGATATTTAGCATGCCAAATATTTTGCGGATAGTCACGCAGTGTGAAAACAACGGCGATCCGACGAGTTTGAAAATCGTGCAGTGTGAACTCGGCATTAGGGGTGTCTTAGCCTGGTGAAGTTTTGGACCAGAATCATAATGTTATCATATTAAAATATAATGTGTCATGTATACTTCTTGTACTGAATAGCTCATGATACTACATGGATGAGTGACTTATGTGGATGGATGGGGAAAAAATGTTTTGGACACAATGGCCTGCACACAAATTTGTTTACCACTTTGTAAACCAGGCATTAACTTAGAAACATCATTCCACCCACAGATGAAAGAGCAATAAAAAAGCAAACAAAGAGGCCAACATAATTCCTGACATGCAATAATGTGAAGAGTTTGTAATCAGATCTGAATGATAAAGACAGGATCTTTAGTCATTTTGTTGGAGAGAGTTTATACAGAAATCCCTTAGGATTGCCATATTTTATAATGCCTGCCATATTTTCTGGTCAATTGTCCATTTAACAAATGTTGCAATAAAGAACCAGAACAAAAGAATGCCATCACAACTTTCGTCAAACAAGAACTAGGAATAAACAGAATCATGCTTGTACTTATTTATAATTTATCACAGATTTTCCAGATGGAAAATCTTACTAATTCCCTGCAGATTGAGGTACTTAAGAGACATGAAGTCAAAGAGTGA